CTCAGCAGTCGTTTTCTAGCCCATCCGGAAAAATTCAATTGGGTGAAACTTTTAGGCAAAATCTTGGATCTTTGCAGAGTGAGGCCCACAATATTTCCTCTGTTGGCTCGTCGGGATTAAATAATTCAGTCAATCCGGACATCCTCCAACAGACCGTCAATTCTTTGGGACCTGGCGCAATTGCAGCCACAATAAATGGGACTCGTGGTATATTATTGAATTCTAATCTTGCTGCTGCACTTGCTGCTTTGTCGGCTTCCGTTTCTTCCGGCCTTACTTCATCTACACAATCTAGTCCTCTTGTTTCTTCTTCACCGTGTAATCAGCCTGCCCCATCTTCCTTCTCCATCTCTACAAGCAACGGTTCATATCACACTGCACCTTTGTCCGGTCAAATAAACGCAAATACACCAGTTGCCCTGACTGGTCCTTCCGGCGAAATTTTGGCAACTATCCCTCTCGCAGCAGCCGCCTCAGCATCTCCAGGTCTCCTTGCCTCTGCCCTCATATCGAGTGGCATTTGTGGTAACGTTAGTCAGACTAACACACATATACCAGGCAATCAGTCGCTATCCATCAACTTTCCTCAAGGCAGCAACATCAGCAATTCCAATATAAACACCAACCTATCTGGCGTTGGGGGACCTACAGTCGCTGGCTCGGGCCTCACCCTATTATCAAATAACACCCTGAACCTTCTACGTTGCGCCTCTTCTTCCAACACCTCTCTTGTTGCTGTCAATAATACACTTCACTCTACCGGGCATCCGACTGTCTCTTCACATAGCCAGCTTTCTGATTCACCTTCTACTCAAATAACTAACACCGGCTTCCCTTCATTTGCTATGAGCCAGCCTGGTCTCATCTCACATCAACAACAACAACTGTCACATCAGCCATCCCAACAACCCAATCAGCCAATCCCAACTAGTTCGCCAGCTTTTGCTTTGATGTGCACTCTCGCCAGTACCCCTTTTGCATCTACTCTCACACAGTCCTCTACATCTTTGAATACCACAACGTCTGCTTCTACGGCAGCTGCTCTGCTGAACTCATTGTCTCTCAGTGGGGGTGGTAATGGACCTAATGTTCTCCATCCTTCTTGCACCCCCTCTGGAACCTCTTTAAATTCCGGGTCTATCAACAATGCCTCTGTCACTACTATAGCCGGTGGAGGCGGGACGACTGTAGCTGCTGTCGCTGCCCTCCTCAAAAGTCTTAATAGCTTAAAACAACCTGGTTTGGCATCTGTTTCTAACTTTTCCTCTGCGCTAATTGGGGAATCGTCAGGTCAGTCGTCTGGATCTGTTCCAAACAGCTCTTGCTCCACACCTGGTCATGCCAATTTGACTTTGATCACAGAGCCTACAATCGCCCAGTCGGCAGCAGCAAACTCAGGCTTCAGTTTGGCCAGCCACTTACACCCAACACTTTTGACCTCCGGCCAGGTGAGCGGGATACCTTCAGGATCGTCTCCTGGTAACTCACTTTCTGCACTTACTTTGCCCGCTGGATCAACTATTGATATGGCCACTTTGGCTGCAGCTGTAGCTGCTGCCACTGCCTCCTCATCTGGTAAGCCCGGCCTGATGCAAACTCAATCGGGCTCTGTTGTGGCCTCTCTAGCTGCTGCCGCGCCCAACTGCTCAGCAGGATCAGGACTTGTATCCACTTCAGCCACTGGTGCTGGCTCCGCTGGATCCATCCTTGTCTCCTGTGCACGTGGTGGCTCGGGTGAAATGAGCCTTATGCTTTCATCTGCAAATGGTCTAACGAGTCACAGCGACGGCACTTCGGCTGCCTCGCTCACGCCGGCTGCATCACTCGCTGCAGGACTTTCATTGGCTGCAGCTAGTTCTAGTACTGCGAATGCGGCAGTCCCTTTTCCTGCCACCGGAGGCCAACCTCAACCACAACAATCACATTTTTCCCCTTCGCTACAATCCTCAATCGCTCAACAGACACACCAACAGCTTAATCAACAACACTCGCACATGCCTACAAGCATTGCAGTTTCTGGCCTGTCGTCTTCACTGTTGCTTCCTACTTCGAGCTCTTCCTCCTCAGTCTGCGGTCAGCCATCGTTGGCCACCAGCACTACATTCCCTCTTTCTGCGGTCACTGGGGCTATCACTCCTGCTACCAGCGGTCACATCTCCACAACACTAACCACTGGGGCTGGCTCTTCGGCCGGCTTAAGTCTTATGGTCAACAATGCGGCCTCGCTTGCTGGTGCGACTGTTTTTTCCCTCTCCACCAACAAGAATGTCACAACCACTCCAGTTCTGCCGAAACCCGATCACTGGAAACAGCAACCATTTGACTTGGCGGCTGCTGCCTCTAAAGTTCTGAAGGCGCAACCGATTGTCACCACAGTCGCCACTACTTCCATTCCGACGATAGCCGCTTCGACTGCGGCCTCTATCATGACGACTAGTGGAATCTCGAGGCCATTACGCGTCAACAGCAACGGCTGGATCACCAATTCGCCGTTGATCCCCGCTCCGATCGTGCAGTCAGGCAGCAGTACTGATTCCACCATTGACAAGATACTAGAAACCATAAAAGATCGGATGAATGAGTCTGCGGAGGCCAAAAAGAACGCGGCCAGTTGCCTTCGCAAGAAGGCAGTTGCTCTGAAGTCGGGATCGTCCGGCCTGAAGCAGGCTATTCAGCGGATCCAACCATGCCCGGGCGGTGGGTCGCAGATCAAGCATTCCAACGGATTGTCGGAAGGTCTTAATGACTCGGTCGGCGGGATTTCTACTTCGAATCTGGTCATGAACGCTTCGTCAGGCGATCCACTCTCCGGCCTCGATCAGGCAGTGGGAGTTGGAGCAGACGTGCGAGGCCTAACTGGTACCTCTGCCCATGCCTCCATCCCAGTGGCAACGGTCTACAAATGTCGTTATTGCGGTAAAACCTTTAATCGCAAATTTTGCCGTGAGCGTCATGAGCGTCTTCATACTGGCGTCCGGCCTTACACATGCGATGTCTGTGAGGAGAAGTTCATCCGGCTCGAGGACAAAAAGCGCCACGTACGCTCTTTCCAGCACTGCTTCGCCCTGGAACGTGCCAATCGGTCGGGAGCAGGCTTTTTATCGCCCTCCTCAGTCGTCACTCCCAGCAACGCTCCGGGCGTTGGTAGCGTTTGTGCCGGAGAGGCGGATGATGGCAGGCCGGCTAAGAGTGATCTGTCGTCGTCGGTCTCGACGCTTCAACTTCCACTGACATCACCTCGAATCCTCCGGTTGGCGGCCTGTGACAACGAAGCTGACTTTCTTGCAAAGGCATCTCGGATGCCGAGTACAGCTGAAGACGAAGATGAAGAGGAGGAGGAGGAGGAAGGGGGCGATGGAGAGGAGGAGGAAGAGTTAGGGGAGGCTGATGAGGAAGAGGAGCTGTTGCCAGCTCCCGAGGCGGTCGAACCGATCCCTGGACTCGATGATTCCCTGGTTCGCGTCGAGCCTACTTCGCCTCCGCTGCATTTACCCTCAGAGCATCCTTATCCTGGCGAGGCAACCTACCATTCCGACGATGATGCGGATGCAGAGGATGTCGGCCGGCTGGATGAACCCGGGCTCGAGGCCGGTATCATTCGAGCCGAGTCTCCAGGCCGTGACAAAAGTGAGGCTTCTGGCTGCGGGTCTCGAGGCAGTTGCGTTGCCTCTGGGCGTTTGCACAAGGCCCTCATCGGATCGGCCCTCGGCCGTGCTGACTCTCTCGGTGCCCTGGCTACCGGCCCATCTCAGACTGACGTTGCCAACACCGGCACTGCTAGTGGCCTCGATGAATCTACGCATAGCAACGAGGAGAATGCACCGCCGGACTCACCGTACCATCAGACTTCTGCTCATCTGTCGCCCACCGCCTCACCTCCCTCTCCTTCGGCCGGCCTGACGGCTCCCTCCATTCTGGGCACTTCCATCCTGCAACAGCGCTTCCGCCACAGTCGTCGCACCGCCCTTAAGCATCCCCAGCCGACACCGATACGTCCGAGTCTGTCGTCATCGCCCATCTCGATGCCGCTGCCGGCACCGACGGCCTCGGCTGCGTCCGGCCTCAACTTGGTCGTGATCAAGGCGCTGGTGAATGGATCCAGTGAACTGACCAGTCCTGGGCCAAGCCTTGCCTCGGGCGGAGCCGAAAAGGCCACAGCCACGGCCAGTTGAGTCCCTTCTTCAGCATACCACCCGGACGAGACGATGCTTAAGTGGGGAAGCTTTCAACCATGTATGCATATTCGCGTGTCCACACTTACACACACACACACACACAGCCAGCTGCATGCGACCCATAGGACTTTCAGGCCTCTCGTGACTGCTTTCCCTCTTTTTTTTTCCCCATTCCGCCTCGACTGCATTTAACCTGTACATAAGCAGTTTCCTGTGTCTGCCCCCTTCGATGATGAGCCTCGTAGTGCCCAATTTCAAGACTGATCGAATCGAGTTTTTTCATTCCTGCCCATCTCTTCATTCCACTCGTGCAATATTGCTCGTTATTTCTCCCATTTCGACAAGGACAACGAGCGTTTTTGATCAGTTCTTATATATTTTCTCGAGGCTTAATTTCTATGTTATCTTATCCGGATGGCATTGAGACCAACCAACCTCTGACATTCTGCTTGTGGTCAAGCAACTACTGCGTGCAACGTTGTCCGTTCGTTTTAGGGCCGACATGATGCCCGGCACGTCAACGTCGCATTAGACTCGACTCTCTGCCAGTCTTACAAGGTCTTCAGCATTCATTCCTGTATTCTTTGCTATTTTATTTGCATTCCGTGCTATTCTACAACGACGCGTGAACGCGCTGAGTCTTGAGGATTGCCATTCGCTTTCTTTTAGTTGTCATTTTTTAAAAGAACCAGCAATTTAAATTCAATCCTATTTTTATTGCCTTATTGAGTGTGGTAGTCGATTTTTTGGCCACCCATCGGTCGTTCGCAAGTGTGTCTTAGTGCTTTGGGTGTGTAGAAGAAAGAAGCAGTGAAACTCAAATGAGAAGAACAACGCTCAGTCTTATCAAAATCTCTTGCTATTTTATCATGGCCGACCCAACCTTTTTCGGACCTGCTCCTTATTGTGCCCTGGGGACCTTGGACGTTGAGCATTTCTAATCACTGGTCACAACCTGGGGCTCAATTGTGTGTCACTATGGGAGGGATGCGTTGACTACGCTGAAACGGGCTTTTAGGAGTTCTCTTGGGCCTCGGCATGAACTACCATCGGAAAAGCCAACTCGAGGTCCTTCTGACTTTTTAGACAGCATCGAGTAACCATCAAACCACGCCTACTGACCTTGGA